AAAGGTCGACAACAAGCTACACAATTTGTCCAGAAACTCACTCCGACCCGGGCTGGCTTCGAACTCATGACCTTTCAGTCAGTAGTGATCTTAATGCAGCTGACTCCCAGCCAGCTCTGCCACAAAATACATATACGTAGACCGAGCCACAGCAATGTGTGGCAGGGGACGGCTAGTCTTTGCTGATTTAACTTGGACTGGAGTGTGGTGGTGGCCTCGAGTGCAACAGTAGTGTTAGTAATAAAGCAAGTATTTTTGGATTGCAACTCCCATCATCCCTTAGTGGTGGCTGTGCTGCCACCACCTGGAAAGCTGCCCATTCCCCATTCCTGCTGCACATCATCTGATCTGGTTTTGTCGCGATGGCGGGTCACGAGAGGCACAAATGGAACGGGAGGCTCATGATCCCTTTGAAAACTTGTAAGCTGGTTTCTGGAAGTGGGAGGGAGAAGGGCATTTATTATTATGGGATTAGCAGTGCTGATTCTTGGTCACAACAAAAACCCATTGTGATCACAGCATTTTAGAAATTGCCAGCCAGGAACTTACTGCTCCATCACACTAGAGAACAAATCCACTAAATCTGGTTTCTGCCTCCTGCAGAATTCTGGGGTTTGTAGTTTAGTGAGGCCGTGAAAGACTCGTCCCTTAACTACAAACCCCAGAATTCTGGAGGCAGAAACCGGATTTAAAGTGGATTCATTCTCTAGTGTGATGATGTCCTTAATTAATATTTAATAATAATAATAATAATAATAATAATAATAATAATAATAATTTTTTGTCGTGTCAGGAGCAACCGCTCCTGTTGTGAGAGAATTGGCTGTCTGCAAGGACGTTGCCCAGGGGATGCCTGGATGATTTTTGATGTTTTATCATCCTTGTGGAAGGCTTCTCTCATGTCCCCGCATGAGGAGCTGGAGCTAATAGAGGGAGCTCATCCGCCTCTCCCCGGATTCGAACCTGCGACCTGTCGGTCTTCAGTCCTGCTGGCACAGTGCTGTAACCCACTGCTCCACCTGGGGCTCCTAATAATAATAATAGCCAGATAACACCTCCCAACAAAGGATTCCCCCTGGCAGGGAGCAGCCAGGCTTTGAAGCTGCATGGTGATTCGGTGGTAATGAAGGTGGCCAACGGCAACATTCACACCTGCCTCCAACAGACAAGCGTTCTTTCTCCAACCCTAGACATCATTCCACAGAGAGAGAGACAAACACACACATCTATATAAATAAAAATGTTTGTTTGTGAGATTGTTGTTGTTGTTCATTCGTTCAGTCGTCTCCGACTCTTCGTGACCTCATGGACCAGCCCACGCCAGAGCTCCCTGTCGGCCGTTACCACCCCCAGCTCCCTCAAGGTCAGTCCATTCACTTCAAGGATGCCATCCATCCATCTTGCCCTTGGTCGGCCCCTCTTCCTTTTGCCTTCCACTTTCCCCAGCATAATTGTCTTCTCTAGGCTTTCCTGTCTCCTCATGATGTGCCAAAGTACTTCAACTTTGTCTCTAGTATCTTTCCCTCAGTGAGCAGTCGGGCTTTATTTCCTGGAGGATGGACTGGTTGGATCTTCTCGCAGTCCAAGGCACTCTCAGAACTTTCCTCCAACACCACAGCTCAAAAGCATCGATCTTCCTTCGCTCAGCCTTCCCTAAGGTCCAGCTCTCACATCCGTAGGTTACTACAGGGAATACCATGGCTTTGACTAGGCGGATCTTTGTTTCCATTCTGATGTCTCTACTCTTTACTATTTTATCGAGATTGGACATTGCTCTCCTCCCAAGAAGTAAGCGTCTTCTGATTTCCTGGCTACAGTCTGCATCTGCAGTAATCTTTGCACCTAGAAATACAAAGTCTGTCACGGCCTCCATGTCTTTTCCCTCTATTTCCCAGTTGTCAATCATTCTTGTTGCCCTTATCTTGATTTTTTTGATGTTTAACTGCAACCCAGCTTTTGTGTTTTCTTCTTTCACCTTGATTAGAAGGCTCCTCAGCTCCTCCTCGCTTTCGGCCATCAAAGTGGTGTCATCTGCATATCTGAGGTTGTTAATGTTTCTTCCAGCAATTTTCACCCCAGCTTTGCATTCATCCAGCCCCGCACATCGCATGATGTGTTCTGCATACAAGTTAAAAAGGTTGGGTGATAGGATGCAGCCTTGCCGTACGCCTTTCCCAATCTTGAACCAGTCTGTTGTTCCGTGGTCAGTTCTTGACTGTTGCTACTTGGTCCTTGTACAGATTCCTCAGGAGAGAGACAGGTGGCTTGGGATGCCCATCCCACTAAGAACTTGCCACAATTTATTATGATCCACACAGTCAAAGGCTTTAGAATAGTCATGAAGCAGAAGTAGATGTTTTTCTGAAACTCCCTGCCTTTCTCCATTATCCAGCGGATACTGGCAATTTGGTCTCTCGTTCCTCTGCCTTTTCTAAACCCAGCTTGAACATCTGGCAACTCTCGCTCCAGGTATTGCTGGAGTCTTCCTTGCAGGATCTTGAGCATTACCTTACTGGCATGAGAAATAAGGGCCACTGTACGGAAGTTTGAGCAGTCTTTCGCATTTCCCTTTTTTGGTATGGGGATATAAGTTGATTTTTTCCAGTCTGATGGCCATTCTTGTGTTTTCCATATTTGCTGGCAAATGGCATGCATCACCTTGACAGCATCATCTTTTAAGATTTTAAACAGTTCAGCTGGGATCCCGTCTTCTCCTGCTGCCTTGTTGTTAGCAATGCTTCTTAAGGCCCATTCAACCTCACTCCTCAGGATGTCTGGTTCTAATTCATTCACCACACCGTCAAAACTATCCTCAATATTATTATCCTTCCTATACAGATCTTCTGTATAGTCTCGCCACCTTCTCTTGATCGCTTCAGCTTCTGTTAGGTCCCTGCCATCTTTGTTTCTTATCATACCAATTTTTGCCTGAAATTTACCTCCAATGTTTCTAATTTTCTGGAAGAGGTCTCTTGTCCTTCCTATTCTGTTGTCTTCTTCCAGTTCCATGCATTGCTTATTTAAAAATAGTTCCTTATCTCTTCTGGCTAACCTCTGGAATTGCGCATTTAACTGGGCATATCTCCCCTTATCACTGTTTCCTTTTGCTTTCCTCCTTTCTTGGGCTACTTCCAGTGTCTCAGCAGACAACCATTTTGCCTTCTTGGTTTTCTTTTTCTTTGGGACGTACTTTGTTGCCGCCTCCTTAACAATGTCTCGGACTTCTGTCCATAGTTCTTCTGGGACTCTGTTTACTAAATCTAGTCCTTCAAATCTGTTCTTCACTTCCACTGTATATTCGCTAGGAATGTTAGTGAGATCATATCTAACTGGTCTGTGTATTTTCCCTGATCTCTTTAGTTTTATTCTAAATTGGGCAATAAGAAGTTCGTGATCTGAGCTACAGTCAGCCCCAGGTCTTGTTTTCACCGACTGGATGGATGTCTGCCACCTTTGGCTGCAAAGGATGTAGTCAATCTGATTTCGGTGTTGACCATCTGGTGAGGTCCATGTATAAAGCCGTCTTTTAGGTTGTTGGAAGAGAGTATTCGTTATACACAGCGAGTTTTCCTGGCAAAATTCTATCAGCCTGCGTCCCGCTTCATTTTGTTCTCTCAGACCATGCTTGCCTGTGATCCCAGTTGTCATTTGACTTCCCACCTTGGCATTCCAGTCTCCTGTAATGAAAATAATGTCTCTTTTTGGTGTATTATCCAGTAGGTCCTGCAGATCCTCATAGAACTGATCTACTTCTGCTTCTTCAGCAGCTGTGTATATTTGGATCACTGTGATGTTGAAAGGTTTTCCTTGCGCTCGAATTGAGATCATTCTGTCATTTTTTGGGTTGTACCCAAGCACTGCTTTAGCGAATTTCTTATTAATTATGAAGGCTACTCCATTTCTTCGATGTTCCTCTTGTCCGCAGTAGTAGATCTGGTGGTCATCTGATGTGAAGTGGCCCATTCCAGTCCACTTCAGTTCGCTGACCCCCAGAATGTCTATCTTTAGTCTTGACATCTCACCAATAACAACATCCAATTTGCCCTGGCTCATAGATCTTACATTCCATGTTCCTATGGTGTGTTGATCTTTAGAGCATCGGATTCGTCGTTCACCTCCAGTACCGTCGGCCGCTAGCCTTCCTTTCGGCTTTGAGCTAGCTGCGTCATCACATCTGGGGCTAGTTGAACTTATCCTCTGCTCCTCCCCAGTAGCATTTTGGCCATCTTCCGACCTGGGAGTCCCATCTTCCAATGGCATACCGACATATCTCTGGTTGTACTGGTCCATTTAGTTTTCTTGGCAAGGATACTGGAGTGGTTTGCCATTGCCTTCCCCAGGGATCACGCTTGGTCTGACCTCTCTGCCACAACCGTCCCGTCTTGGGTGTCCCTTTACGGTTTCGCTCATGACATCATTGAGGTGCTCAAGCTCCAGCGCCCCGACAAGGCGGTGATCCTTTGCTGGAGGTTTGTGAGATTAACATAACTCAAAAACTACTGGGCAAACTGACATGAAATTTGGACACTATACCCCTAACAGGCCAATGAGTGACCATCACTCATAAAACCCCTAAAAAAAAGTAGAAAGGACTTTAAAACCCAATAAATCTTAATGACGATACAGAAGAAGAGGGAGGGAAGGGGAGAAAGAAAGAGGGAGTGAAAGAAAGAAGGAAAGAGCAAAGGAAGGAAGGAAAGAAGTAGAGAACGAAGAAAGGAGAGAAAGCAGAAGGAAAAGAAAAAGGGAAAGAAGGAAAGACAGAGAAGGAAGGAGAGAAGGAAAGAAGGAGCGAAGGAAGGAGGGAAAGAAGGAAAGAAAGAGGGAGGGAAGGTTACCCACAGCAAGACGTGGTGGGTACAGCTAGTGTGTATATATGTGTGTGTATATATATGTGTGTGTGTGTGTGTGTGTGTGTGTGTCTGTATCGCAAATTGTCTAGTGAGAAGGGCAGAATGTAAGTACGTAAGTAAATAAATGCATTTTCTTTGTGTCTCCAGATGAGCGGCACCGGTAACAAGCGAGCACCCACAACAGCCACCCAGAGACTCAAGCAGGACTACCTGCGCATCAAAAAAGACCCAGTGCCTTATATATGTGCTGAGCCCCTGCCCTCAAATATACTTGAATGGTAAGAGTGACAATTGTCACTGTGTGTTGTATGTCAGCCGGTGATTGTGTCTAATGTTCATGATGGGAATGATGTTCATGTTGATGTTCATGATGGGAATGTTCTTGATGGGAATGGGGATGAAAGAGGAAAGAGAGATGGAAGAAAGGGAGGACGTGATGGATGGAAGAAGGAAGGGTGGAAGGCGAGGGAGGGAGGAAAGAGTGATGGAAAGACAAAAAGGAAGGAAGGAAATCGAGGCGGGAGGAAAGAGAAGGAAGAAAGAAAGGGAGGAAGATATGGATGGAAGAAGGAAGGGTGGAAGGGAATGGCGGGAGGGAGGGAGGAAAGTGAGTGATGGAAAAACAAAAGAGAAGGAAGGAAATAGGGGAGGCGTGAGGAAGGAGAGAAGGAAGAAAGAAAGGGAGGAAGAGATGGATGGAAGAAGGAAGGATGGAAGGGAATGGAGGGAAGGAGGAAAGAGAGAGTGATGGAAAGGCAAAAGGGAAGGAAGGAAGGGGAAAGAGGGAGGGAGGGAAGAAAGGAAAGACGAAAGAGTGGAAGGGAAGGAGGGAGGGAAGAAAGGAAGGAAACAGAAGGAAGGATAGGATGGTGTGAGAGAGGAGGCCCTGAGAAAAGAGCCCAGGGGGCCGCAACCGGCCCGGGCCTAGGTTTGCCCATACCTATTGTACACAGTATTTGAAATAATTTTGTACAGGAATTAAGGTTGGTGTGCATTAAACTGTTAGAAAGCAAAGTTTTTGAATATTGGAATTCTGCATAAGGAATGCTCTAAGGCTGAGAGATTGGGTTTCCAGTGGGCAACCAGGAATTCCTGAGTTATAACCCAATGTTCAAACCAGTAAACCAGGATGACTCTGAATTTCCATAATCAAACCTCCAGATAGCTAACCACCACTACTACCGATAAGGTCACTATACCTGCAGAGTTCTTTCATACCTAGCTTTAGTGGGTCTGACTTCCTTTTGGCTCCTTTTCCTTTTTACAAAAGGACATGTTGTGCATAAAAAATGTTTCTTTTGCTCCTCTAGGCACTACGTTGTACGCGGACCTGAGATGACTCCATATGAAGGTAAAGCATGGCTTGTACTTTGGAATTCTCTTCATTCCAAACCTGTGAACCCTTTTGAATATCGGGCGTTGCATATACTGTTGTCGAAGGCTTTCATGGCTGGAATCACTGGTTTGCTGTGAGTTTTTCAGGCTGTCTAGATAGGTTCCAGAAGCATTCTCTCCTGACATTTCGCCTGCATCTATGGCAGACATCCTCAAAGGTTGTGAGGTATATTGGAAACGAAGCAACAGATGTTTATATATCTGTGGAATAATGTTCAGGGTGGGAGAAAGAACTTTTGTCTGTCGGAGGCAAGTGTGAATGCTGCAATTAATCACCTTGATTAGCATTGAATGGCCTTTCAGCTTCCAAGCCTGGCTGCTTCCTGTCTGGGGGAATCCTTTGTTTGGAAGTTTTACCTGGTTCTGATTGCTTCTTGTCTGGAATTCTAAAATCGGGACAGTAAATAAAGAGCAACACTCAGAAAACGGGGGAATTCCAGACATGAATCAATCAGGGCCAGCTAACAGTCAGGCTTTGAAGCTGCAAAGCCATTCAGTGCTAATCAAGCTGAGCAGTTGCTGCATTCACACTTGCCTCAAGCAGACAAGAGTTCTGGGTTGTTGTAGGTTTTTTCGGGCTATATGGCCATGTTCTAGAGGCATTCTCTCCTGACGTTTCGCCTGCATCTATGGCAAGCATCCTCAGAGGTAGTGAGACAAGAGTTCTTTCTCCCATTTTAGACTTTATTCCTCACTTGCCTAGTTTCCAACAGGCCTCACAACCTGTTGTCGAAGGCTTTCTTGGCTGGAATCACTGGGTTGTTGTGTGTTTTCCAGGCTGTATGGCCATGTTCAAGAAGCATTCTCTCCTGAAATTTTGCCTTCATCTCTGAGGATGCCTGCCATAGGATGTGGGCGAAACATCAGGAGAGAATGCTTCTGGAAACCCAGAAATTACACAACAATCCAGACCTCACAACCTCTGAAGATGCCAGCCACAGATGTGGGAGAAACATCAGGAGAGAATGCTTCTGGAAACCCAGAAATTACACAACAACCCAGACCTCACAACCTCTGAGGATGCCAGCCACAGATGTGGGTGAAACATCAGGAGAGAATGCTTCTGGAAACCCAGAAATAACAACAACCCAGACCTCACAACCTCTGAGGATGCCAGCTACAGATGTGGGTGAAACGTCAGGAGAGAATGCTTCTGGAAACCCAGAAATAACACAACAACCGAGACCTAACAACCTCTGAGGATGCCAACCACAGATGTGGGCGAAACATCAGGAGAGAATGCTTCTGGAAACCCAGAAATAACACAACAACCCAGACCTCACAACCTCTGAGGATGCCAGCCACAGATGTGGGAGAAACATCAGGAGAGAATGCTTCTAGAAACCCAGAAATAGCACAACAACCGAGACCTAACATCCTCTGAGGATGCCAACCACAGATGTGGGCGAAAAGTCAGGAGAGAATGCTTCTGGAAACTCAGAAATTACACAATCACCCAGACCTCACAACCTCTGAGGATGCCAGCCACAGATGTGGGTGAAACATCAGGAGAGAATGCTTCTGGAAACCCAGAAATAACACAACAGCCCAGACCTCGCAACCTCTGAGGATGCCAGCCACAGATGTGGGCGAAACGTCAGGAGAGAATGCTTCTGGAACATGGCCAGACAGCCGAGAAAACTCACAGCAACCCATTGCATGTGCTATTCTGTGTGTATTTATGTGTGTGTCTACTTCTGTGAAGTGAGGTTTTCTTTCCCCCTTCTCGTTTTAGGTGGCTATTACCACGGGAAACTAATTTTCCCAAGAGAATTTCCATTTAAACCTCCTAGTATTTATATGATAACACCAAATGGAAGATTTAAATGCAACACAAGGTAAGCAGTGTCCATGTTTTTTTAATAACCAGTGGCAGGGGAGAGAGACTTTCTGCTACATGGCTCTGACACGCTCCCTGTGCAGAAATATGGCCCTTGACAGCTTAATGTTTTCGTTGGAGTTCAGCCTGTGATTGTGTCTAATGATCAGGGCACTCTGGATGTTGGGAATGACAATGAGGTTCATGTATCTAATGATGAGGTTGCTATTAATGCAGAGAATGACAATGGGATTCCTGTTCAAAGTGTCTTTTCTGATGAGAATGTTCCTGAAGGGTTTGGGGATGATGGTATGGTCCCTGGAATTGCTACCAGAGAATTCCCATAACTTTGAGAATAGCTCGGCATCTCGGCCAGCAGCAGAAATTAACGAGCCAGTAGATAGAAGGCATGTTTTTAGTCAGCACAGGCAAACAACCCAATCTCTTAGGCGTTCTGCCAGGCTGAGAGAGAGAATGATAACAGAGTCAAGGCTGAAACGAAATCCATTCCTGGCTGCTTGGGACAATGAGTAGATTAGGGGATAAAAGGGTCTAATGAGAATGTTCCTGAAAGGTTTGGGGGTGATTGTATGGTCCCTGGAAGAGGTCCTGAATTGCTAACAGAGAATTCCCATAATTTTGAGCCTGAGAATAGCTCGACACCTGGGCAAGCTGCAGAAATTAATGAGCCAGTAGATAGAAGGCGTGTTTTTAGTCAGCACAGGCAAACAACCCAATCTCTTAGGCGTTCTGCCAGGCTGAGAGAGAGAATGATAACAGAGTCAAGGCTGAAACGAAATCCATTCCTGGCTGCTTGGAACAATGAGTAGATTAGGGGATAAAAGGGTCTGATGAGAATGTTCCTGAAGGGTTTGGGGATGATGGTATGGTCCCTGGAAGAGGCTACCAGAGAATTCCCATAACTTTGAGCCTGATAATAGCTCGGCACCTGGGCCAGCTACAGAAATTAATAAGCCAGTAGACAGAAGGTATGTTTTTAGTCAGTACAGGCAAACAACCCAGTCTCTTAGGCGTTCTGCCAGGTTGAGAGAGAGAATGATAACAGAGTTAAGGCTGAAACGAAATCCGTTTCTGGCTGCTTAGGACAATGAGTATAAGGAGATAAAAGTGCCAAGCACAGAATCTGTAGTTCAGACGAAGCATCGCTGGAATTGAATCGAGACATCTTTCCTGTTCCTTGGAAGTCTTGCCTTGGATAGATTCATGTGTTAAGTGCCTTTTTTGATTCATGATTGAAGTTTTGGAGTTATACCTTGGAAGTTTCTGTATTTGTTTTTCATGAACCGTATATACGCGAGTATAAGCTGACCCGAATATAAGCCGAGGCACCAAATTTTACCACAAAAAAATGGGAAAACATATTGACTCGAATATAAGCCGAGGGTGGGGAATGTAGCAGTGAATGGTAAATTTCAAAATAAAATTAGATGCCAATAATATTACAGTAATTGAGGCATCCGTAGGTCAAACGTTTTTGAATCTACATAAAACTGTAATGTAAGATAAGACTGTCCAGCTCTGATTAAACCATTCTTCTGACCTTCTTCAATGTAGATGTGCTTACGTATCCTTCCAATAATAATAGAGTAAAATAATAAATGTAATAATAACAATAATGATAAAGTAAAATAAATGCATTAATAATAAAATAATAAATGTACTACTACTAATAATATTGAGTAAATTAATAAATGTAATAATAATAGAGTAAAATAATAAATGTAATAATAACAATAATAATTATAAAGTAAAATAAATGCACTAATAGTAAAATAATAAATATACTACTACTACTAATAAATTGAGTAAAACAATAAATGTAATAATAACAGAGTAAAATAATAAATGTAATAATAAGAATAATAAAGTAAAATAAATGCACTAATAATAAAATAATAAATGTACTACTACTAATAATGTTGTTGTTGTTCATTCGTTCAGTCGTCTCCGACTCTTCGTGACCTCATGGACCAGCCCACGCCAGAGCTCCCTGTCGGCCGTTACCCCCCCCAGCTCCCTCAAGGTCAGTCCAGTCACTTCAAGGATGCCATCCATCCATCTTGCCCTTGGTCGGCCCCTCTTCCTTTTGCCTTCCACTTTCCCCAGCATAATTGTCTTCTCTAGGCTTTCCTGTCTCCTCATGATGTGGCCAAAGTACTTCAACTTTGTCTCTAGTATCTTCCCTCCAGTGAGCAGTCGGGCTTTATTTCCTGGCGGATGGACTGGTTGGATCTTCTCGCAGTCCAAGGCACTCTCAGCACTTTCCTCCAACACCACAGCTCAAAAGCATCGATCTTCCTTCGCTCAGCCTTCCCTAAGGTCCAGCTCTCACATCCGTAGGTTACTACAGGGAATACCATGGCTTTGACTAGGCGGATCTTTGTTGCCAGTCTGATGTCTCTACTCTTTACTATTTTATCGAGATTGGACATTGCTCTCCTCCCAAAAAGTAAGCGTCTTCTGATTTCCTGGCCACAGTCTGCATCTGCAGTAATCTTTGCACCTAGAAATACAAAGTCTGTCACGGCCTCCACATTTTCTCCCTCTATTTTCCAGTTGTCAATCATTCTTGTTGCCATAATCTTGGTTTTTTTGACATTTAGCTGCAACCCAGCTTTTGCGCTTTCTTCTTTCACCTTGATTAGAAGGCTCCTCAGCTCCTCCTCGCTTTCGGCCATCAGAGTGGTGTCATCTGCATATCTGAGGTTGTTAATGTTTCTTCCAGCAATTTTCACCCCAGCTTTGCATTCATCCAGCCCCGCACATCGCATGATGTGTTCTGCATACAAGTTAAAAAGGTTGGGTGAGAGGATGCAGCCTTTCCGTACGCCTTTCCCAATCTTGAACCAGTCTGTTGTTCCGTGGTCAGTTCTGACTGTTGCTACTTGTAATAAATAGAGTAAAATAATACATGTAATAATAAAAATATTAAAAAGTAAAATAAATGCACTAATTATAAAATAATAAATGTACTACTACTAATAATAAATTGAGTAAAATAATAATGTAAAAATAATAGAGTAAAATAATATATGTAATAATAAAAATAATAAAAAAGTAAAATAAGTGCACTAATAATAAAATAATAAATGTACTACTACTAATAATAAATACAGTAAAATAATAAATGTAATAATAATAGAGTAAAGTAATATATGTAATAATAAAAATAATAAAATAGTATTGTCGAAGGCTTCCATGGCCAGAATCACTGGGTTGTTGTAGGTTTTTTCGGGCTATATGGCCATGGTCTAGAGGCATTTTCTCCTGACGTTTCACCTACATCTATGGTATAGCCCGAAAAAACCTACAACCCAATAAAAAAGTAAAATAAGTGCACTAATAATAAAATAATAAATGTTCTACTACTAATAATAAATAGAGTAAAATAATAAATGTAATAGAATAATAATAGTGTAAAATAACACAAATGTAATATTAATAAATATAGTAAAATAATAAATGTAATAAACTGTTACTAATAACAGAGTAAAATAATAAATAACTTTGACTTGAGTATAAGCCGAGGGGAGCTTTTTCAGCCTAAAAAAGGGGGCTGAAAAACTAGGCTTATAGTCGAGGATATACAGTAATTTCCTGCTTATCTTTCTACCTAATTGGATTTACCTATTTTTATGGGGTGTTTTTTTTTTTTATCTCAACTGCTTTTAAAATATCTTCAATAAACTGCTTGCTTTTCTACTTTAAAGTCAGAGGGTTTTCCTGGCCTGGAGTGCAACAGCCTTTCTGCTTTGGGGTGACTTTGCCTGTCCTTTGTCTTACAGGTTATGTCTTTCCATCACCGACTTCCATCCCGACACGTGGAACCCGGCTTGGTCGGTCTCGACAATCCTTACAGGCCTTCTTAGTTTTATGGTTGAAAAAGGTCCCACTTTGGGCAGTATAGAAACATCCGAGTTCACGGTGAGTCGCTTCTCAGGGTAGAGGAGGGTGGGTATCCCTCCTCCTTAAAGACATGTAGACATTTCCAAATGTTGTTTTTCCAAACCGATCTTTTCTCCCTTTACGCAGAAAAGGCAGCTTGCTTCACAGAGTCTAGCGTTCAACGTGAAGGACAAAGTCTTCTGTGAATTGTTCCCCGACGTGGTGGAGGTAAGGCAGCACATTTGCGAGCCTTGCGGGAGATAAATTTATGCCTGCCGTAATGTCCCTAACCACCTAATGGTACTTTCCAGCTGTGTTGGACTACAGTTCCCATTACTTTCAGCCAGAGATAGCAGTTGTATTCCCACATATCTGGCTAGCAGCTGAAACCTTCCATATTCCATTTGTTGTAATAATAATTTTTAATTATTTTTTTATTTCACAGGAGAAAATACAGTTATATAAACATATATTATACATTTCCCTCTCTTTTATTTACATTCACCCTTGTGCTCCCCTTCTCCAGAGCCATCTCTTTTCCTAAAGTCCCATCCAACCTGGGCTTCCCTACTTCGCGGATTTTCACTTTTCGCAAGTGGTCCTGCAATGTAACACCCGCGATAAGTGAGGGAACACTATAGTCCCCTTTGTCTCCACCAAGTCTGATTCTTTGACTGATGTCTTCCCCCCTTCCCGTCCCAGGAGATCAAGCAGAAGCAAAAGGCGCGAGAGGAGCTCCACAGCCGGCCGCAGACCCTCCCGCTCCCGGACGTCGTTCCTGACGGAGAGGCCCACCACAACCAGAATGGTCTTCCGCTCCTGAACGGCCACGTCCCCTTGGCCGCCGCCGCCAACAACAACAACCACCCCGGCCTCCAGCAGGCCAACCGCAACCACGGACTCCTGGGAGGAGCGTTGGCGAACTTGTTTGTGATTGTGGGCTTTGCGGCCTTTGCCTATACAGTCAAGTACGTTCTGAGGAGCATAGCGCAAGAGTGACGCCCTTAAGGAAACGAAACGGAACACAAACCGCCGGTTCCAAGACCAAAATTAGCAGTAGTGGCCGGAGCCAAAACAACAACAAGAGAAAAAAAGCATGTGGGACTCTTTGGGTCTCATGCTCCCCCTAGTGCTGGGATGAATACCGTGTGATGTACAGGTAAACGTGAAATAGACCGGTTTGGCTCATGGGTTTAGTTTTGAGGAAGGAAAGAAAACAGGATCCCCTTTGGACTCAAAAGAAGAGGCAGGTAGGATGGGAAGGAAGGAAAAAAAAGTGACCGAGGCCAATTGGCGATATTTTAAAGTTACCGGTCGACATACAAATGTAATCTTTTATTTAATGTTAATTTTCGTAAACAAAGCACTGAATCATTTCCGGGGTCCTTAAAGTTCTTTGTTGGTCAACGCGGAATATGAAGTCGCACAGTTTAGTAAGGAGAAGGTGGCAGACAAAGTCAAAGTCAGTGAAAAGCAGAGAAAAGGAAGAACCAGGGCTGATTACAGTGTTCCCTCACTTATCGCGGGTGTTCCGTTCCAGGAACCTCCGCGATAAGTGAAAAACCGCGATGTAGGGACGCTATACCACCAGCTCTCAACCCCTCCTCCCTCCCTCTCTTCCTCTCCTCTTTCCCCTCCCTTCCTCCCTCTCTCATCCCTCTCTTCGCTGGAGCCACCCTTCTCCTTCCCCCCTGCTTCCCCAGTGGCATGGGGCTCTCACACGGTCGCCCGAGGAAGAGCGACCGGGAAGAAGCCCTGGCGGAAGCTCCCTTGGCAGCCCTCTCCGTGCCCCTCGCTGGCACCACTTCGGCAAGTGGGGTTTATAGATCTGTGTACAGTGTTCCCTCACCTATTCCCTCACTTATCGCGGGGGTTATGTTCCATGACCACCCGCGAAAAGTGAAAAACCGCGGATTAGGGATGAAGTAGTCTCTTCCTCAGAGGTCCCAGGGTCCTCCGAGGAAGAGGAGGGGGGAACTTCGGCTTGGCCGTCTCTGAGGATGAAGCTGCCGAGGGTCCACTGAGGAAGAGGAGGAGGAAGAGGAAGAGAGGGAGCCTCGGCTTGGCCCTCTTCGAGGATGAAGCCGCCGCCAAAGAGGTCCAAGCTGAGGCTCACCCCTCCTCTCTTTCCTGCTTTTCCTTGGAGGACCCTGGGAGCTTGGAGGAAGAGGAAGAGAAGGAGTCTCGGCTTGGCCCTCTCCAAGGACAAAGCTGCCGCTGAAGAGGGCCAAGCCGAGGTCCCCCTCCTCCTTTGCCTCGGAGGACCCTGGGGCCGCAGAGGAAGAGAGGGAGTCTTGACTTGGCCCTCTCCAAGCTGCCGCCAAAGAGGGCCAAGCCGAGGCTCCCCTCTCCTCTTCCTCCTCCTCTTCCTTTGAGGACCCTGGGGTCTTGGAGGAAGAGGAAGAGAGGGAACCTCGGCTTGGCCCTCTCCAAGGACGAAGCACTGCTGAAGAGGGCCAAGCTGAGGTCCCCCCTCCTCTTCCTCCTCCTCTTCCTCGGAGGACCCTGGGGCCTCGGAGGAAGAGGGAGTCGCGGCTTGGCCCTCTTCGAGGATGAAGCTGCCGCTGAAGAGCACCAAGCCGAGGTCCCCCTCCTCTCCATCCTCTTTTTCCTCGGAGGACCCTGGGGCCTCGGAGGAAGAGGAAGAGAGGGAGTCTCGACTTGGCCCTCTCCAAGGACGAAGCTGCCGCTGAAGAGGGCCAAGCCGAGGCTCCCCCTTCTTCTCCCCCCTCCTTTTCCTTGGAGGACCCTGGAGTCTTGGAGGAAGAAGAAGGGGAGTCTTGGCTTGGCCTTCTCCAAGGATGAAGCACCGCTGAAGAGGGCCAAGCTGAAATCCCCCCTTCTCTCTCCTCCTCCTCCTCCCTGCCCAGTGGCTCCCGGGGGGGGGGGGAACCCCCCCCCAAACAAGTCTGCAATAGGTGGGGTAAACACTGTATACAGAGTTCCCTCAGTATTTGTATTTTAATTTTTTTTTGAAAAATCACGAAACAGCGAGTCTGCGGGAAGCGAACCACAAAGAACCAAGGGAACACTCTATTCATTATTCCTTTTTTTCCTCTTACGTGGTCCCTGTGAAATATGCACTTATGGCATCTTCTGCACCCACAAGGCTGTTTTGGATTCTGTTGAAAAGCTTCCATTCAGTTAGGGCCACCTGCATTGCATTTGCTGACTTCCTCGAAGGATCATCAGCGAGGTCTAGAGCCCACTTTTCTTCTGGACCTTCCGAGCCATTCCCAACTTCCGCACACAAAACACATACTTCTAAAACAGTGTTTCTCAACCTTCCTAATTTTTTTCATTTTTGTGTCAGGAGCGACTTGAGAAACTGCAAGTTGCTTCTGGCGTGAGAGAATTGGCCGTCAGCAAGGATGTTGCCCAGATGTTTTGATGTTTTACCATCCTTATGGGAGGCTTCTCTCATGTCCCCTCTGAGGATGCCTGCCATAGATGCAGGCGAAACGTCAGGAGAGAATGCTTCTAGTACATGGCCAGACAGCCCGAAAAACGTACAACAACCCAAACAAAAACAGCACTGAAGTTGTAAGGAAGGAATCACCACCAGGGGACGCTGTTGACTTATATAGCACTTCCACAAGGAAATTGAACCGAGAACACATATCTAGAGAGGGCCAATTTGAGAAGGAATTTTCAATGAATGCCTTTGGCTCGATGGAAGCGATGTTGTGAAATTGGTGACCTTGATCGACAACAATGTTTTTGCTTTTCTTTTCATGTCTTTCCTTTTTTTCTGGAAGGAATGAGGGTTGACCTTCAAAAACAAGACGTTTCTGGCCCGCTCTCGCTTGTTTTTAGGACCTTTTGGTCCTGCCAAAGTATGGGAGAGTCATCATCTTGAGGGCTTTTTGGTCCTGGTAAAAGCATGGGAGAGCTGTCCTCTCCAGAATACAAAGGAATGGACAACCTATGAGCCTTTGTGACCTCGAGAGTTTTTTTTTTTTAATTACTAACTTGGAGACCTGGCGCTGCCTGGGTAATTTGAGAAAGGCATTGTGTGTCAAGGTTGGTCTTGATCAATTATTTATATGGCTCGCAGTGGTCTCAGCAAGTTAGTGAAGGTACTGCAAGTCCCATCATCTATGGTTCATCCTCCTCCAAACAACACTGGGGTGTAGAGTGGGTCATGGGGGCTCTGTGTGCCAAGTTTGGTCTTGATCGGTCATTAGATGAGGGTTGCAGCCATCTTGGGTAGGGAATGAAGGTACCTGAAGTCCCATCATCCATGGTCTGTCCTCGAAAGTACACCAGGATGTAGAATGGGTCATGGGGGCTCTGTGTGCCAAGTTTGGTCTTTATCAGTCTTTGTTGGGGACCACAGTGGTCTGTGGGAACCAAAGGGTTGGAAAGTACTACACATCCCATCCATTGTCTAGCCTCCCCCAAGCCTTGGGGGTACATAAAGGGTGTCATGGGGGTTATGTTTGCCAAGTTTGGTCTTAATCAGTCATTGGATGAGGATCGCAGCAGTCTCATCAAGCGAGTGGAGGTACTTCAAGTCCCATCATCCATGGTCCACCCTCCAGTAGGACGTAGAGTGGGTCATGGGGCCGCTGTGTGCCAAGTTTGGTCTTTATCGGTCTTTGTTGGGGACCACAGTGGTCTGTGGGAACCGAAAGGTTTGAAAGTACTACAAATCCCATCATCCGTTGTCCTTGAGTTTTGGAGTTGTAGTTCACCAACATCCAGAGAGCTCTTGAACTCAGACAATGATGGATCTGGACCAAACTTGGCACGAATACCCAATATGCCAAATGTGAACACTGGTGGAGTTTGGGGAATATAGACCTTGATATTTGGGAGTTGTAGTTGCTGGGATTTATAGTTCACCTACAATTAAAAAGCATTCTGAACTCCACCAATGATGGGATTGAACCAAACTTGGCACACAGACCTCCCATGACCAAGAGAAAATACTGGAAGGGTTTGGTGGGCACTGACCTTGAGTTTTGGAGTTGTAGTTCATCAACATCCAGAGAGCACTGTGGACTCAGACAATGATGGATCTGGACCAAACTTGGCACGAATACCCAATATGCCAAATGTGAACACTGGTGGAGTTTGGGGAATATAGACCTTGACATTTGGGAGTTATAGTTGCTGGGATTTATAGTTCACCAACAATCAAAGAGCATTCTGAACTCCATCAACGATGGAATTGAACCAAACTTGGCACACAGAACTCCCATGGCCAAGAGAAAATACTGGAAGAGTTTGGTGGGCATTGCTCTTGAGTTTGGGAGTTGTAGTTCACCAACATCCAGAGAGCCCTTGGACTCAAACAGTGATGGATCTGGACCAAACTTGGCACAAATACCCAATATGCCAAATGTGAACACTGGTGGAGTTTGGGGAATATAGACCTTGACATTTGGGAGTTGTAGTTGCTGGGATTTATAGTTCACCAACAATCAATTTGCATTCTATACCCCACCAACTTTAGAATTGGGCCAAACTTCCCACACAGAACCCCCCATGCCTTGAAGGAACTTGCTGGTGTGAACCTCCCTCCAGCCTTGCATGCTCTCCTTTGCCCAGACATGTGCACAGCTTCTATGTTCCAAGCACGCCTGCTCTCCCCTCTCCACTTGGATTCTCAGAAACAGCCCTCCCCTTGGCTGAGAGGCTGGCCAATCACAGCAGAGGAGGGCTTTTGGTGGGAGGATTCGCCATTTGTTTCCAAAAAAGGAAGAAAAGGACAGGCGGAGAGATTGTCAGCATTCTCCGCCAAAGGCATTCCTAAGACCATCTGTAATATATGTTTTCTGATGGTCTTTTGCTACCCCTCTGAAACCCCCTTTGTGACCCCTTAGAAACTGTTCTAAAACACGTGGACAAACATGGAAGGCTAGTGAACTACACTGCCTCTGAAGCAAAAGGTGGCATTTAAAAAATACTTCTAATACAAAGGTATGCAGATGTGGAAAGCTAGTGAGTTGCATTTCCCCAAAGGATACTTTGGCTGCTCGAAATCCTTCCTAGGGAATTTGGTTGCTCGAAATCCTTCCTAGGGAATTTTTTTAGAGAGTGAAAAATCCCTTCCTGATTTTTTCTTGGATGTAAATTGACCTGGACTTCCAAAAACATGGTGTAATGATCACTCGCGCTATCATATTTGGAGACATTTTGGAACCAATTTGCTAAAAACAACACCCTCGGATGATGCAAAAACTGCTCTCCCGCCTCCGTATGACTTACAGACATTTCTTTACAAGTATAAAACCTCCTTGTTCCAAGATTAATTTTTGTTTTAAGCATATAAGACCCTTCTTATCCACCCCTTAAAATATGTATATAATCTAGGGAATCAGTTTTAGATTATTAGTATTATTATTTCTGATTCTGTTGGTGATTTCTTTGTGGCAGAAGACGACAGGAAAGAGCGGAAAGCCAAAAACAAACCCATGAGCCACGTAGCTTTAGATAATCAGTGAACTTGTGCTTTGACCAATTTCTCTGCGAGTAGGTATGGATTAGTTGAGAGTAATAGGATGGATCCATACAACGGAGGAGGCAAGACCTTTTGGAGCGGGAGGGGGGAAGACGGGAACGATTTTAAGACCTGTATTTATAAAACACTTTGGAAATTTGGTGTTTGGTTTCCTTTTCCTTTCTCTCAGATTGGGTTTTTCTGTCTCACTGTCTGGCTCAGGACTTCCCTATGTTGCTACTCCTTTGCTCTTGTCTCAAGAAAACCTTAATGTATTTCTGTTTCTACGGAGGCCTCTGTTTCCTTTGTTAAGTGTTGCATGTGTGTGTGTCCGTCCATTCTTTAAATGGCCTTATTTTGGTGTTGGAGACCGACGTCCTTATGAGGGGCGTTCATTGGAGATGTCCCCTGTCTCACTTCCTGTGGACGGAGAGCAATGAAATATGGCCCAGTTCTGAGTCCTCTCCTTCGGTGCCACCTCAGACACATGCTTCTCCCATCTTTGGTAAACACCTCGCTTGTAGGAGTCGGCATGTTGCTTCAAAAGCCATGTTGTGATTTTGGAAACCAGTCTCATCACCTGACAGATGTTCGCCCTTCCTTGTTGGAAAGAAGTGGAAGTCCAGTGGTGTGAGGTCAGGTGAATCGGGGATGCGGGAGAATGTCAAAGCCAGAGGAGCATGCTTCTTCCATTTGGGCAACAGGTGAGTTGTGAACAGGTGCATTGCCTTGCAGAAGGTGGACACCTTTGATGAGCATGCCATATCTCTTGGTTTTGATGGCCTCCTGCCATGTCTTCAGCATGGTCTTCCCCAGTGATCCTGGTCCCCTTTGCTAGGAAATCCACCCAGACTCCTCCATGCTGGTCCCAAAATACTGAGCATGACCTTGCCTGCCAAGAGTTGGGCCCATGCTGCCTTTAGAGGCGGTGAGTCAGGATGCTTCCATTGCATCAACTGGACTTGAGTCTCAGAATCAGAGGGATGGACCCAGCTTTCCTCCCGTGTGATCAGTTGTTGACAAAGTCCTCCTGGTTTCCATGGCACATCATTGTCAAGAGAGCCTGAGAGGATTCAACTCATTCCTGCTTCTGGAAAGGTGTGAGCAGCCGAGGGACCAGAGAATATGCATGTGAAGATGGTCTTGGGTGGTTTTTTCCACTGACCCCACACTCATCTTGACATTTTGGGGTAGGTGTTGAATGGTTACTATGTGATTTTCCAAAACAACGACATCCACTTGCTGGATGGTGTGATCATCAATAACAGAGTGGGGTCGCCCTAGAATTGGAGCTGTTTCCACCAAAGTCTGACTATATTAGAATGGACTATGCCAGTTCGTGACTCCATCCTATGATGGGAAGTCCTCACCATCAAGCTCTTCCATCTCATTGAACGTCTCCTTTGGTGTGTGGACTTTCGAGTAAAGGAACTTGAGGACTGCTCTGTCTTCCATCCTATGATGGGGAATCCTCACCATCAAGCTCTTCCATCTCATCGAACGTCTCCTTTGGTGTGCGGGCTTTCGAGTAAAGGAACTTGAGGACTGCTCTGTCTTCCTTTGATGGGGAATCCTCACCATCAACCTCTTCCATCTCATCGAACGTCTCCTTTGGTGTGCGGACTTTCAAGTAAAGGAACTTGAGGACTGCTCTGTCTTCTATCCTATGATGAGGAATCCTCATCATCAACCTCTTCCATCTCATCGAATGTCTCCTTTGGTGTGCGGACTTTCGAGTAAAGGAACTTGAGGACTGCTCTGTCTTCCTTTGATGGGGAATCCTCACCATCAGCCTCTTCCATATCATCGAACGTCTCCTTTGGTGTGTGGACTTTCGAGTAAAGGAACTTGAGGATTGTCTTCTATCCTATGATGGGGAATCCTCACCATCAACCTATTCCATCTCATTGAATGTCTCCTTTGGTGTGGACTTTCGAGTAAAGGAACTTGGTGACTGCTCTATATTCTGCTGGGTCCATTCTCAAACCTCACTCCACTTCAGCACCTGTCAAATCAAGACAGTTATCATTTCAGAGTTGTAAATTGGCATGTAACCTATAGATTGGCACGTTACCCATGTGTGGTTTCAGCATCCTCTGAAAAATCGAAGTGGGTCAGGGGAGAATTTTAATGAAGACTCCTCATAGAGTGTGGTCCTTAATGTGCTGAATTCAGAGCAAATGGAGGAAAAGTTTTATTTTGTTTCTTGAAGAATGCACCTTATTTTTCTATTAAAGGTCCCAACTTGTAGCTTTCTTCTTAATTAGAAAAAAATGTGTATAAAAGAATTTGATATGGATGTTATGGCAAGAGGAATTCATGGTCCTTCTATAGATGGGGAATGAAGATTAACTGATTGTGATCATAGATAGTGAGAAGAGCCACGCAGTTGAGTAAGATCTGAACTTTGGCCGTCCATAGTTTCATCCAGCCGCCATGCCATCTCCATGATGCTGAGCTGGGTTTGACGACCTATTAGGGAATCAGATACACAACCCCGAGGCACTGATAATACATTGTGAACATAGTCCAAATTCCGCAGATTCGTGTGGTGAAAACGCACTTTGAAGAATGCCGGAACTGCCCTCCCAGAGCCAACCTTTTGTAATGGAGTGTTCTCTTTCCAGGAACATCCATTTGGGGTTCTGGGAAGGGGAAGTTACTGGCATGCTGGATCCAGAGGTATTCTGCTTCGGAACGTGGAAGTTCAGGGCTTCTTCAGGTTGGATTTAGTTTTGGGGACATTCTCAACCTTCCATCTTTGGACTACAATTGCTAGTAGCAGGACACAGTGATACGAAGAAAAGGAAGTGTTGAGGTCTCTGCTTTTGTGGCATCCGCATCAAAAGGGCTCATATTCCTGGGACGGATGTATGTTTTGTCTTGAACAGAAATGTGCGCTCCTCGCCAACTCGCATTGAAACCATTCTTGATATCTCCGCAACCAGTCGCAGAAGAATCCCACTCGATCCGGCAGCGGCCCAGAAGTTAGGCCAGAAAACTTGGGCTCTCTCGGAGGTGGAGTAAATATTTATTCAGGCACGGTTTACAGGACAGCCAAGGAGCAGAACGAGCAAAACAAGGCGCTGGTCCAGGCCTGTAATGAGCGCTGGAGCAGCAATGCCTTGGAGAAGAACAGGGAAATTGTTCTCCAGACGTTCCCGCCCCTTCCCCAAGGACCTCCGAGTATGTGGAGATGTTCAAGGGAAGGATTCTGTAGCATTTGTATTAAAACTTCAAATGAACTGTCAAAAATATTAAAAATTAACTAGGTATTTTCATTGAAACGGTTAAATGGATGCAAGGATTCCCCAAAAGCTGCAGTTCTATATAAGCAGGTGTGTCTGGAGTTTAGTAGGTCCCTGTGTTAGTTTGCCTCAGTGGGAGAAAGGTCTCAGTCTATAAGAAGGCCTCAGTGTGAGGTAGGCCTTTGTGAGAGAAGGTCTCACAGTGTGAGGTAGGCCTTAGTGTGTGGGACATCCGTAGAGATACCAAGGTGCTTGTTTATAAAGCTATTGTCCTCCCAACCCTGCTATACATCTGCGAAACATGAACTGTCAACAGTGTGAGGTAGGCCTTAGTCTCTGAGAAGGTCTCACAGTGTGAGGTAGGCCTTAGTCTGTGGGACATCCGTAGAGATACAAAGCTGCTTGTTTATAAAGCTATTGTCCTGCTAAGCATCTGTGAAACGTGGACTGTCAACAGTGTGAGGTAGGCCTTAGTCTGTGAGGAGGTAAGCCTTAGTCTGTGGGACATCCATAGAGATACTAAGGTGCTTGTTTATAAAGTTATTGTCCTCCCAACCCTGCTATATCTCTGCGAAACGTGGACTCTCAACAGTGTGAGGTAGGCCTTAGTCTGTGAGAAGGTCTCACAGTGTGAGGTAGGACTTCGTCTGTGGGACATCTGTAGAGATACCAAGGTGCTTGTTTATAAAGCTATTGTCCTCCCAACCCTGCTATACGTCTGCGAAACGTGGATTGTCAAGTGTGAGGTAGGCCTTAGTCTGTGAGAAGGTCTCACAGTGTGAGGTAGGCCTTCGTCTGAGGGACATCTGTAGAGATATCAAGGTGCTTGTTTATAAAGCTATTGTCATCCCAACCCTGCTATATGTCTGCAAAACGTGGACTGTCAACAGTGTGAGGTAGGCCTTAGCCTGTGAGAAGGTCTCACAGTATGAGGTAGGCCTTAGTCTGTGGGACATCCATAGAGATACCAAGGTGCTTGTTTATAAAGCTATTGTCCTCCCAACCCTGCTATATGCCTGCGAAACGTGGACTGTCTACAAACATCACACTCAACTCCTGGAATGATTTTGTCAACATTGCCTCTTAAAAATCCTGCAAATTCTTTGGGAAGACGAGTGGACAAATGTCAGCATGCTGGAAGAAGCAAAGACCACCAGCACTGAAGTGATGCTTCTATGCCATCAACTCCGCTTGACTGACCATGTTGTCCAAATGCCTGAACACTGTGTTAGTTTGCCTCAGTGGGAGAAAGGTCTCAGTCTGTGAGAAGGCCTCACAGTGTGAGGTAGGCCTTAGTCTGTGAGAGAAGGTCTCACAGTATTAGGTAGGTCTTAGTCTGTGGGACATGCGTAGAGATACTAAGGTGCTTGTTTATAAAGCTATTGTCCTCCCAACGCTGCTATATGCCTGCGAAACGTGGACTGTCTACAGACATCATACACAACTCCTGGAATGATTTCATCAGCGTTGTCTCTGAAAAATCTTGCAAATCTCTTGGGAAGACTGGCGGACAAATGTCAGCATACTGGAAAGACCACCAGCATTGAAGTGACGGTCCTATGCCATCTATTCTGCTGGACTGACCATGCTGTCGAAATGCCCAATCACCATCTCCGAAAGCAGTTATTCTACTCCCAACTCAGGAACGGAAATTGGAATGTTGATGGACAGGAAAAGAGATTTAAAGATGGGCTTAAAGCCAACCTTAAAAACCATGGCATAGAAACTGAGAACTGGGAAGCCCTGGCCCTTGAGTGCCCTAACTGGAGGTCTGCTGTGACCACCAGTGCTGCAGAATTTGAGGAGGCACAAATGGAGGCTGAATGGGAGAAATGTACCAAGAGGAAGGTGCATCTAGCCAAGCATGACCAGGACCGTCTTCCACCCGGAAACTGATATCATCATTGTGGAA